GCCTGCGCCCATGTTGCGGAAAGTCCGCTGATCTCCAAAGTAAAAAGGCCCCCCCACGACAAATGCGTGCGAATCCCGAATAAATTGCACCACGTCGTCCCGGGTTTGAGAACACAGGCCGGCTCGAGCCGACTGGTAACACCATTCGGAGCCCGGAATACAAAAGGACACGCTGTCAACACTGGGCGCAGTGGGTTCAGCCTCCGCAGGGGGTCCACGTTTAGGGGGTGGGGGTCCGCGAATTCGACGGTTCATTCTGCTGAGCCCCAATGTGATCATCCCCAGGGTCGACTAATTCATCTTCGGCGTCCCAAAGGGCAGGACTTCCATCGAAAGGACATTAATCTTGCTGTGCGTCTGGGGAAGGAGCCGAGGCACCTCCTTCCCTCTGCTGCGGGCCCAGCAACTCGCCGAACAAGAAGCGTCGCATGCGGATCTGAAGGCAAGGCGGGCCTTCTCGCGCGCCTGCTGACGCTCTAGCTAGGACTGACTCGAGCGGCTGCCTGGCCGAGGGAGGGTGCCAGGGCGCCTGACTTGCGGAAGCTTGCCGGCGAGCGACAAACCACGGGCGATGAGCTGGCGCCCGAAGCCTGCAAGGGATATGATGGATCCGCAATGCGCGCCCCATGGCAAGTCAAGCTTGGCAACGACTGCTCTCAAGCACGAGCGTGCCGAATGGCTGACAGCCAAGAAGTCGGTGTGACTGCTACCTGTTCCCGTGACGCAAGTGGCCTTGATGTCTGCTGTGACGGTCACTGCGTCCAAGCGCTCTGGAAACCTAGCCTTGTTGAGTTCCGCTGGGCCCATGTGGGAATCACCCAAGATCATTCATGGGAGGGCCAAAGAGGTGACGAACGCTCCTAGCTTAGTAAGACGCCTTGCGTTGTCCCTTGCAAATCTTTGCGAATGCAGCCCGTAGAACAACACGATAATAATGTAGTAGCCCTGCATGTGCACAGTGATGGGAGGAACCCGTCTAGGGCGTGGCAGGAGGGGGGAGCGAGATCGGGAAGGGACTGAGCCGAACCTGCCGAGACAGCCTGCCTGTGTCTTTCCGAAAAAAAAAGAAGCCTCTCCCCCCTCGTTCGCGCGGGCGGACTGGGCCGTGGACGACTCGTTCCTCGAAGGCCGAGCAGGGTTAAACAGACCAGCGGTGCGAGAAAGCGCGACATTCCTTGGTCAATTTAGGAGGGGGAGGAGGAGGAGGAGGAGGAGGAGGAGGAGGAGGAGGAGGAGGAGGAGGAGGAGGAGGAGGAGGAGGAGGAGGAGGAGGAGAGAGGACGAGAGAGGACGAGACAGGAAAGGGGAGAGAGGCAATGTAGGTGCTGCGCTCGAGCCACATCTGACGTTCAATCCTTCCCGTCCACCCTTTCACAGTGCGTTGAGTTTCCTCTATCCGCAGACGTGTGGCATAGCTGACCCGGAGAGGGCAGAGGGGACAGGAAGGATGCTATATGACGGACAGGCGGAGTTGGATGTGGCGGAGCAGGCGACGAGCCAGAGGATGAGGATGCAGATGTTGAGGAGGAGGGGGCGAAGGAGTTTGAGAGGAGAGGGGATAGGGGAGGACAGACTGGTGAACGAGACGAGGACGAGGAGAAGCAGGAGGAGGGCGAAGAAGACCAGGAGGACGAGGATGAGAGAAGAACTAGGGAAGTTGCAAGGAGGAGGATGAGTAGGACATGCCCGAGAGAGGTCAGAAGAGGGTGGAAGTAGGAGAGACGAGGATGCGGAAGAACATGAGGGTAGCATAATGGTTAGGCGGAGAGGGAGAGGCAGACGATCACCTAGTGAGGTGGATGACGATGATGATGCTGCTGCTGATTATGATGCTTGTGATTATGATGCTGACGTTTTTCATGTTGATAATGTTGACGATGTCGATGCTGATGCAGATTATGATTAGGATGCTGATGGTGGTAATGATGATGCTGCTTGCGATGATGATGGTGATCTGATGATGCGGCTGATGGTGCTGATGATGCTGGTGATTATGATAAGGACGACGACGTTGCTGAAACTTATGCGGATGATTATTATGTTGACGGTACGGCAAGGTATTTCTATTGCTGGTGATGATGACGATGACGATTGCGCGTGCACATGTGATGATTCCGATGATGACGATGATGATGATGCTGCTGATGGTGATGATGATGCCGATGCTGATGGTGATGATGCTGATGATGACGATGACGACGATGCTGCTGATGATGATGCTGATGCTGGTGATGATCATGCTGATGCTGATGATGCTGATGATGATGCTGCTGATGATGCTGCTGATGATGCTGCTGCTGGTGATGCTGATGCTGACGATGATGTCGAGAATGATGCTGCTGCTGATGATGATGATGGTGAGCATGATGATGAGGATGCTGCTTCTGCTGCTGATGATGCTGATGCTGATGATGATGATGATGATGATGCTGATGCTGATGCTGATGCTGATGCTGATGATGAAGATGATGATGATGATGATGATGATGATGCTGTTGCTGCAGCAGCTGCTGCTGCTGATGATGATGACTATGATGATGATGCTGATGACGATGATGCTGATGATGATGATGCTGCTGATGATGCTGATGCTGATGATGACGACGATGATGATGATGCTGATGATGATGCTGATGATGATGATGATGATGATGATGATGCTGATGCTGCTGCTGCTGCTGATGATGATGATGATGATGATGATGCTGCTGCTGATGATGATGATGATGATGATGATGATGATGATGATGATGAGGTGCTGATGAGGAGGAAGAGGGAGCAGGAGGAGCAGGGGGAGCAGGAGGAGCAGCAGGAGGGATGGAGTTTGTAGATGACGGTTTTCAATGACTTTTGGCCCATCCGTCCAGCGTGCTTGGGTTGTGGGAGGCGCAGGAGGAGGAGACAAAGGAGGAGGAGGAGAAGGATGAGGAGTAGAAGGGGGAGGAGTAGGAGGAGGAGGAGCAGTAGAAGAAGGAGGAGTGGAAGGAGGAGGAGGAGGAGCAGAAGGAACAGTATAGGGAGGAGGAGGCGGAGGAGGAGAAAGAGGAAGAGCAGGAGGAGGAGGAGTAGAAGGAGGAGGAGTAGAAGGAGGAGCATGTGTGGCACTCAGCCTTTTAGGCTCGAGCGGCGTGCCGGCCGTTTGCCACACGCCACGCCGCTCTGCCACGGCCGCCAGGCCGCTCGGGGGCAGCAGCTGCAGCAGCTGCAGCACCCGGCGGCGCGGGGCTCTCCGCCCCTCCTGCTCAGCCCTGCCTCCTGCTGCTCCTCCTCTCTGCACGCCCGATATGGGTACTGAAAGAATGGGTACGATGCCCAACAGCAGCTCTTGTTCATTCTGAACAGAACTCGCTGTCCACGCCGCCGCGGCCTGTGTCCTTTTGAGACAGGAGGCCTCCCGCCCAACAGCGGCCGCTGTTGGTTTGGGACAACACTTGCTGTTGGGCATTGTACCCATTCTTTCGGTACCCATTTCGGGTGTCCAAATCCTCGGCATCGGCGTCCCAGTCAGCGTCCCTCTGCTGCTCCCCCTCCTCCTCCTCCTCCTGCTCCTCCTGCTCCTCCTGCTCCTCCTCCTCCTCCTTCTCCTCCTCCTCCTCCTCCCTCTCCTCCTCCTCCTCCTCGTCTCCTCCTCCTCCTCCTCCTCCTTCTCCTCCTCCTCCTCCTCTCCTCTCCTCCTCCTCCTCCTCCTCCCTCTGCTGCTCCTCCTCCTCCTCCTCCTCCTCCTCCTCCTCCTCATCAGTTGCCATTTTGGCTCAAGTTCGGGACAGTCCCGTTTTGAGTGTGGCGCTCCTCCTCCGTTGCCATTTCGGCTCAAGTTCGGGACAGGTCCGTTTTTTGGTGAGGAACATTCCGTTAAGGTCTGTCCAGCTTTCGACAGCTGGAGGGCATCTTTCTCCCCATTCTTTCCCCATGCCCCATGGCACCCCAGCTGCGAGCTCACAGAGCTCCGCGACATCGCTGCGACCATCGAGGAGGCTCCCACCTTCCCCTCTCAGGAGATTGCCGACAGAGGCAACGGCAAAGGTGGCGCCCGCGCGGTCTCGTGCAAGCGTCACCCTGATCCTCTCCCCATGACGCTGAGCAGGATTCTCGTTCCGACTGCGACATGGACGAGTTCATTCCCGACGGGAACGTTCGACAAGTGTGCTGCGAGGAGTTCGAGGTCATGCGCGAGCCATCTCCGCTGAGGTCAGTGGTGCCGTGTCCAAGACTGCCGGCGACAACCGCGCGACGTTGCTCAGCATGCTCTCGGCAATGCAGGCTGAGGTTGCCAAGCAGTCCACCAGCGTTGAACAGCAAGTCTTGTCCGCCCTCGCCCCCTGGCTCGATGCAGTCAGCCGTGGGCTTCAGGCCCAGATCGACGCACGAGAGGCCCCCGTCAACGATGCGAAGGCGGGGCTGGACAAGCAGGATAGCGAGATCGGCTCTCTTCGTGAACAGTTCGTCGACGCGAACTGGCGCTTGCAGCAGGACAGCCTCGCCCCGCGGTGCCCTCTCCTTCCCCTTTCGGCCGCCGCGTCGACCCCGCCGTCGTCGCTGCCGTCGCCCAGAAGCCCACCGCCACTGCCAGTGTGCAGTTGTCGCTCGCTCCATGGATTCGCTCGCTGGGCTACGAGGGCGCCAAGTGTCGGCATCGAACAGCGCGGGGGGCCCCCAGCCAAGAGTTATGAGGGAAAGAAACGCACAGACACAATTAATCGGCGATTCCCCAGAAAATATGGAAAACTATGGGAAGTGGGGGGGAAGACAAAAACCCAGAAAATATGGGCAAATATGGGGAATCTTTTTATTTGTGTGTATGTCTTTGTGTGTCCCAGGGCCCCTTCAAAGAGGTTTGAGGTTCGCTTCTTCGGGCCTCCTGGCGCTGCCGTCCGCCAGGCGGCCGGCGCCATCTCCAAGCTTCAGGGTCGCACCTCCAGGGGCCGAGCGGCGCCGCGTCCGCCTCGGCCCCGACAGAGTCAGCGAGCGAAGAACGGTATAAGATAAACCTTTTCGCTGTCGGGGGCGCCTGTCCCTGGGCGGCTGGAAAGTTTATCCCCCCACGGTGCCACCGTAAGTGTGTATAGACTTTCCAGCCGCCCTGGGACAGGCGCCCCCGACAGCGAAAAAGTATATTTTTATACCGTTCTTCGCCCGCTGACAGAGGCGGCGAGCAGACCAAGACGGAGGTCGCCCATCGGAGGGCGAGGGCGCCTTGTGGGCCCCGGCTGCCCTGGCAACAGCGTGTTTGTCTCCGAGATCGGGGGCGCGGCGCTCTCGCGATGGGCCGGGGGGAGACCGTGCAGGTGGAGGTCCTGTGCAGGAGGAGGAGGAGGAGGAGGAAGAGAGAGAGGAGGAGGAGGAGGTTGGAGGAGACTGAGGAAGGAGGAAAGGAGAGGAGGAGTGGGAGGAGGAGGAGAGGAGGAGAGGAGGAGGATGAGGCGGTTTGAGGAGGAGGTGAGAGGCAGGAGAGGCAGGAGGAGGAGGAGGAGGAGGAGGAGGAGGAGGAGGAGGTGGAGGAGGAGGAGGAGGAGGGGCGCCGCGTAATGGCGGGGTCATAAATGGGGGGGTGGCGAGCGTGGTCCGAAAAGGTCCCAAGGAGCCTTCAAGCTCTCCCCCAGGGGGTTTAATCGCTTCCGAGGCGCCCCCAGGAACCCCACAGGAACCCAGCGCCTGGGAGCGCCTGGGAGCACCATTCCGGAGCCTTCTGGTTCAAGCGTTTCTGCTGAGATCGTCGTTCACAGCTTGCGCTGCACCCAAACGGTACCTAAACGTGCCCCCTGGGGCTCTGGAGGGGCCCGAAAGGGGCACGAAATGGGGACCTTTCTGACCCCCCCATGTGTGACCCCCCCCCATTAAGCCACGCCCAATGGAGGTCCTCCACGGCGACCCTCCCCCCCGCCGAAGATCCACGGGGACATCGCCCAGGTCCGCGCGCGCAGCGTGCTCGAGGGCGGGTTTCTCGAGGCGGCGAAGGAGATGGCCGCGCCCGCTGATCCGAGTGCGTGGTCCCCGTATGTCGTGCTGTGAGGCTCTTCGGGCTTCCCGCGCCGCCCCCTGGGGCGCTCTGGCAACCGCTGCGCTTCGCTAGTTACCTGGAGCGTTTGAGCCCTGCTTCAGGCCTGCGGGGAGAATGCTACTCTGCAGCGTGGGCACCCTGGCTCGGCAGCGACCGCTTGAAGATATCAGCTTGTTGCAGAAGGTCCACCAGGGCCACCGTCAGCACACTTCCTTCGTCCGCGCGATTGCGCAGGGCCCCCTCGCGTCCAACTTCTGTCTCAAAAATGCGCACGGCCATAACGAGGGCGGGGTTGATGTCGTTCTCCCCCCTCTCGCAGTTCGTGGCGGCGCGGGGCCGATTGAATTGCGGCGGGTGCTCGTTCTTGGGTGTGCGATTCTAGTCGCTGCTCGCGCTGCCGACGCGGTGCTGCAAGTCTTTAACGTTCACGGCCGTGGGCCGACGATCCCAGAGACGCAGTTCGTCTCCGACGAGATCCGCGCCGCCAGGGCCGAGGCCGCCAACAAGCCAGACTCGCTCATTGTGGTCGTCGGCGGCGACTTCAAGCTTGATTCGCACGACGCGGTGTCGCTGCGCATGCCTGCTGCCGCCGTGCTGAGAGGCGCTCGCCGGCGTCGCGCCCGCGCCCCCAAGTGGCGCGGTGCCCTGGCGCTGCTCGCCGAGGTCGAGGTGGGTGAGCCCACGCGCCATGAAAGACAGACAAACGCTGGTGCGATCATTGACACAGTCTTTTGCTCTCTCAATTGGTGGCAGTTGTGTCATATGTATGTTCAGGCCTGCACCCGGGACTCGGCTGCCCAGCTGTCGGACTGCCTGATATCGGATTACGCCGCCGTCGTCGCGGCGTTCGCCCCTCGCGTTGCTTGCCGGGCTGAGCAGCGGGCTGTCCATATCTTCCTGGGGCCCAGGCTTAAGAAGCTCCTCGAGGGCTTTGTGGAATGCACTATTCCGGGGGGAACTTAGGCGACGACGCTCTCGAGCTGGACATCTCGAGCCGCGTCCTGTCCGTGCCCGCCCCCCTGCTTCGGCGGGCATCCCAGTTTTAAATTCCCTCGGCTGAGGCCAGGCGTTCCCGTCGCCAAACAAGGACTTCCCCCTCCTCGCCTTGCGGGTCCGGGGCCCCCTCGCCGCGCCCCTGGCGCTCGTCGCTTTCTCGCGCTTGCCCGTCGGGGGTGTCCTCGCCCACCGGGGCCTCTTGTCGCGCGTGTTCTGGGTTCGGAGTGGGGCCATTCAAGGCTGAGAGGCTGCCGGGGGGCCTTATTCGCACTGGCCACCGCCGTGTTCCTCATTGACCTGGCGAGGTTACTCGGGCCCCCTGGCCTCGGCCCCGCGCGGGCCTGCGCCGATGGCCCTGAGGGTGCTCCGAGAGCTGCCCGGGGCCCGGTCCACGCAGTTCGGGCGATGGTGAAAGCGCCCAGCATGGCCAACCTCGCGCGCGACGCTGCCAAGTGCAAGCCTGCCCCTTCGCGCGGCCCCTTTTTCGGGGCAGTTGGCCCGCAGGGTGTCCAGCATTATCATGGCGTCGGCGGCCGCCGCTTGGGGCCCTCTTGAAGTGGCCCTGCCCCTGCTGCGCCTCGGCCCGCGGCTGGGCCCTGGGGCTGCGAGGGGCGCGTGCTGGCGCGGCCCCATGGCCGAGCTCCGTCCGAGCGCTCAAGCCGTCGGCAGGGGCGCCGCGCCTGCCTCTCTATCGGCGATGCCGCGCAACGCCCGCGCCGTCGCCGCCCTCTCGCGCGTCGCGCAGTTCTGCTTGCCAGCTGCGGGAGCGCTCCAGCCCGAATCTGTTCGCGCCCGTTTCTTTCGCCGCCCCCACCGGTGCGTTTTCTCTGGGCGCGCGGGCCGGGGAAGCGGGGTGGGCCTCGCTGCGCCTGCCGGGCGCACTCGGCCATCGCCCCCATCGCGGGAGCGGCCGCCCTCGCCTTTCCGAAGTGCGCGGGTGGTTGCAGCGGCTGAGGGGCCACGCGGACAACCGCGGCACTATTCGCGCGGTTGACATGGCGTGGACTGGCATGTCTCATCCTTCTTCGCGGCTCGCTCCTGCCCTCGTCGAGAACCGCGAGGCGGTTTCCGCGGGTCGTGGTCCACCTGGTCAGCTTGCCCCTCTCGCCCCCCGCGTTGCCGTTGCTGCGAGTGCCGCCCCGGGCTCGCGCCCTGGAGCTCGCCGTCGGCCTCGGCGCGCTGCCCGCCTCGTGCTTCGTCCGTTGGCCCGCGAGTCCATGCCGCTGACCGCGCTGTCCGTCAAGCGCCTGGCCGAGTTCGCGGGCCGCTGCCGTTGCATCCTCCTCAGGGCCAGTCCCTCGCGGCCCTGCGGCGATGCGCCCATGTTCCCGGGCCCGGGCTGTCCTTCGCGCGTGGTGTGGCGGCTGGATGACGCCAGCGCACATTATTTCGCCGCGCGGGCAGAGGCTGCGTGCGCGCGACATTTTGGGAAAGTTCGACTCGCTCCGTCACTCCGCTCGCCGCCTGACCCCGCGCCGCGCTCTGCGCAGATCTGTGGCGCAGCCTTTCCCGTTGGACTGGCCGTCTCGCTGGGGGCTCCTCCGGCCGCCCCGTCCATGCGTTCGGCGCGATGGCCGCCGCCTGCCGCGCGTGCAACGAGACCCGCCTCTTTGACGAATGGCCGCTCCAAACCTTCCAGCTGCGCAGCGTGGCCCTGGCGGGTGTCCGCGCTGCGATGCTGGCCACTCATGTGCGCGTTGGCGCCGGGGGGCGTCTACAGCTCGAGCGGCGTGACTACAAGCTGGTAGCGAGCTCCTCGTTGGACTCGACTTCATCCTCGATTTCGTTCTCAGCGTGCTCCTCACCGAGGCTCCCCCCGGCCGTGGTCCCCCTTTTCTGGCCGCAGGCCCGGCCGAGATTGCCGCGCCCCCTGGCTCGGACGTGGGCGCGACCCCCGTCCTGGCCACAGACCAGATGAATGTCTTTCGGGGATCGATGGTGCCCAATCGCAGGACGCGTCTCGACTGGAACTGGTTTTGCGGGTCCGACTCGGGGTGCTCCCCCCCCACAATTCACGGATTTTCTTTCGCAGGCCCCACGTCTCTCGCATATAGCTACCCCATGCGCTTCGATTGCCGTGTCGTGCTTGATCCCTCTTTCTCTCTCTCTCTCTCTCTCTCTCTCCCCTATGTCGACCTTGCCTTCATCGCTCCCAGTAGCTCCAGCGGGCAAGACAGGGCACCTCCTCCCCCCCGGTCCGCTCCCCTCGCCGAGAGCTGCCGCTGCGCGCGCCTGCCCCTCGCCTGCTTCCCACTCCAGCCGTCCGCCGTGGGCCTCCGCCGTGCCTGTCCTCGCCGCCGGCGCTCTTTTCCAGCAGCCTGCGGCGCCAGTCTGCGAGCTCTCCGTGGCCGACCGGTCGCTGGCCCGACGCTGCCGTGCGTGCTGCTCCTTCTCCCCGCCCGTCGCCCCCGATTCCTGCCGGTGCTCCTGCTGTGCCGCACCTGCTCCAAGAATAAAGTAAAGTCGCCCCCCCCAAATAAGTCAACGACTTGTTTTCCATCAGAAATTAAGAAACGGATTGAAAGATTAAGAAACTAGGTGGTTGTGAAAATAAGAAGGTTTTCTTAATTCCAGCACCTCTTGATGCTGCTGCTCCCGTGCCCAGCCAGCTGTGCTCCCAGGCTTCCCTCCCACTCGGTCCTTCCTTCTCCCCCGCCGTCTCCCCCGTCGCGCGCGCCCCGAGGGCCCTCGGCGCCCCGCATGCTTTGAGTGAAACAACGGCCCCGCGTGTTCTGCGGCGCACGGAGTCTCCCACATCGGCGTCGGCTTTGTCGGGTGCGGTTTGTTCGCGGGGCGCGCCCCGCCTTCCCTGCACCCGCCGCCGCGGGGTGTGTATGGGAGGACAGGGTCTTCTTTTTGCGCCCGTTTCCTCCTCTTCCTCCTCCTCCTCCTCTTCCTTCTCCTTTTCCTCCTTTTCCCCTCCTGCTGCTCCTCCTCCTCCTGCTCCTGCTCGTCCACCTCGTCGTCCTCCTCCTCCTCCTCCTCCTCCTGTTTCTCCTCCTCCTGCTCCTCCTCCTCCTCCTCCTACTCCCCCAGCGCCGCGCTTCTTTACACTACTGGCACTGAGTGCCGAGCCGCTGCGCTGCACGCGATGAGGCCGTAGCCTGAGACGAACTGGAGCGGGGACACTTGCCCTCTTCTCGTGTCTTGCCCGCTTGTGTGTTGTTGCTTGCCCTCGTCCTCGTCTTTTCCCTTCTTGGTACGGTCGTCCTTCCTCCTCCTCTCCTCTCCTAAACCTTTCCTCCTTCCTCCAACTCCTTCCTCCATCTCCCTCTCCAATTCCCTCTTCATCCTCTCCTTCTCCTCCTCTCTCTCTCCTCCTTCTCTCTCACCATCTTTGTCCTCGTCCTCCCGCCTCGTCCTCCTGATTGCCTCCTCCTCCTCCTACTCTCCTCCTCCGTCCTCCCTCCTCTTCCTCTCCTTCCTCCTCCTCCTCTCCTCCCTCTCCGCTCCTCCTTCCTTCCGCCGCCGCTCCGTCCGCGCTCCCTCCTCCGCCCTTTCCTCCTCCACCCCCCCCAGTCTTCCTCCCCTTCACCTTTTGTTTTTCCCCTTTTTCTTCCACCTCCGCCTCTTTCTCCTCTTTCCCTCCCCATATCCCGTCCCTTTCTTCTTATTTCTTCCTCCTCCTCCTGCGCCTTTCTTTTCTTCTTCCTCCGCCTCCTCTTCATCCTCCTCGCCCCCGGCTCTCTTCCTCCTCTCCTCCCCCCCCTCCTTCTCCTCCTCCTCCTCAGTCCTCTTCCTCTGGCAAAAGGCCAGGGCCAGCAGCAAGCAGCGCTGGTGGGTTCGCGAGATCTATACCAACCGCGTTTTCAGGTAGAACATCAGGTTAAGCTCGCGGCGCCAAGTGAGCCAAGTGCGCATTTTGTTCAGTTTTCGAAAGGAGAACTAACTCTCTTTACTCGCTCTTCTTTCTTTTTCCACGACGAGAAGAAAGAGCAACGCGATCCATTGATGAAGGCGCTGGAGCAGGGCGATAACAAAGACGCCCTTCACCCGTCGACACCAGTGGGGGCCCGCGGAGCACTTCCCCAGATGCCAGGCATCTGCCAGTGGAGATCATGATCGGCGAGGCCTTGAGGCCGATGGGAACGTCAATGTTCACAGGCCGCGCCCCGCGGGGCAATCTAGCACGGAAAGTACCTGGTGGCCGTGGAGGAGGGCGCCGTGCAGCATAAGCGGAGGCACGGTTCATCATGGACATCACAATTTTCTGATCGGCTGCGTAGATCGCACGTCCTGGGTGTGCCACAACGGCTCTCTTGGCTCGTCGTCGTCGCGGCGTTCGAACGCAAATCCTGGGTGTGCCATTGCGGCTATCTTGGCTCATCGTCGCCAGTTGCGTCTGATCGCAAGTCCTGGGTGTGCCACCGTCGCCACTGGCCGTCGCCACTGGCGTTAGACCGGAATCCATTACCTAAATTTTTCTCTTTTGATGGGATTATATGTCCATGCGCTCCTACGCGATGATCCCAGCTAGGTCTCGTTGGCTTCCGTAGCCATCCGCATCTACGCGACGATCACATAGAAGTTTCTTGGGCAGTGGACGGCTATGCATGCTACGACACGATGGGCAGCGTGAGTTGTCTTACTATCGATAACGGCAATTGCCATAGCTTGCCGCGAAAATTGGGTAGAACGCTCTCCCTGGGACCCTTGGGATTCTGGGCCATCGCGCGAACAATAGCACACAGTGATGGTGGGCATTGTAAAGCAGTGGAGGAGGTGTCCTCGAGGTGCTCACTCTGAGTGGATCTGAAGATCGGCCTGGCGTGGTGATGACGCCCGTAGCCACTGCCCCGCTCCCGCTTGCCCTGCACGTTTGGTGGCTTGCATGATTTTGATTGTTTGCTTGTCGCCACCGGCCGCGCCCCCGTAATGGCGCGACGGACTGCGCAACGACCCTGCTGGCTCGAAACAGGATTTGATGAGCGAGGTAGTGTGATGAGAAAGACATCGACCCCCACCCAGAGCAGCGTGCTGGATATTGTTTGTGTAACAAGAAATTGCCTGATTGTGCAGCGATAGAGAGAAATTTCCTCCTCCTCCTCCCTTTCCGCATCCTCTTACTTCTGTCGTTTTCCTGCTCCTCCTCCTCCTCCTTCTCCTCCTCCTCCCCCTCCCCTTCGTCCCCTTACGTCTGTCCTTTCCTTCGTCCTCCTCCTCCTCCTCCTTCTTCCCTTCCTCTCCTCCTCCTCCTCCTCTTTCTTCTGGCCTTTTCCTGCTCATGCTTCTTCAACTTTTCCTCCAACTCCTCATTCTGCTCTCCTCTTCCTCCTCCTCTTCCTCCTCCTCCCCCTCCTCCACCTCCTACTCCTCCACCTCCTCCCCCTCCTCCCCGTCCTCCTCCTCCTCCTCCTTGTCCTTCTCCCTCCTCTTCCTCCTCCTTCTCCTCCTCCTCCTCCCTCCTCCTCCTCCTCCTCCTCCTCCTCCTCCTCCTCCTCCTCGTCCTCCTCCTCCTCGTCCTCCCTCCTCCTCTCCTCCTCCGCTCCTCCTCCGCCGGACTCCGCCCCGCCTCCTCCACCTCCTCCTCCTCCTCCTCCTCCTTGTCCTCTTCCTCCTCATTCTCCTCCTCCGCGCCTCTCCTCCCTCCCTCCTCCTCCTCCCGCCTCCCTCCCCACATCCTCCTCCTCCGCGTCCTCCTCCTTCCCCTCCTCCTCCACCTCCTCCTCGCCCTCCTTCCTTCTCTTCCTCTTGCTCCTCCTCCTCCCTCTCCGCCTCCTCTTCTTTCTGTCCTTCTTCTGCTCCTCCTCCTCCTCCTTTTCCTCCACTTCCCCACTTTGCTCTTCTCCTCCTTCTTCCCATTCTCCCTCCCTCCTCTTCCTTCTTCTGCTCCTCCTCCTTTTCCTCCTCCTCCTCATCCTCATCCTCATCCTCATCCTCATCATCATCCTCATCCTGATCCTCATCCTCATTCTCATCCTCATTCTCATCCTCTTCTTCTCCTTCTCCTCCCCCTCATCCTCCTCCTCCTCCTCCTCCTCCTCCTCCTCCTCCTCTCCTCCTCCCTCCTCGTCCTCCTCCTCCTCCTCCTCCTCCCCCACTTCTCCTCCTTCCTCCTTCCCTTCTTCTCCTCCTCATCCTGCCGCTCCTCCTCCTCCTCCTCCTCCTCCTCCTCCTCCTCCTCCTCCTCCTCCTCCTCCTCCTCCAGGCGCGGTGGCTCCGTTGCGGCGCGGCTCCGTGCCTGGCGCCGGCTGGGCCCGCTCTGGCGGCCGGCGCCAGCTGCGGCGGCCTCCGGCGGTGCGCGCCCGGAGGGGCCGCCATCCGGAAGCCGATGGCGCCGGGGGTCGAGTGGGAGATCGGCTGCAGAACTGAGATGCCCCCAAATCGATTGGTTTGCCAGATCTGCGGAGAGTTCGTATCATGCCCGTAGATCGACGAACGTTCTCCGTATGAGCAAAGATTGGGGTAAACCAATTCTGTACTCACTCGATCTCCTATTCCAAGGGGTGGAGTGCACAAATCAGGCTCAGGATCGGGATGCATTGCCACAGAGCGTGGACAAAATCACGACGGGAGGCTTTTGGCGGTTTTCGGCCTCCAGAGGCGCTCGCAAGGCTTCGGGGCCGTCAATACACGACTCGGAATGAAAAGCTGGTCAATCGAGTGGGTCGAGACCTCCGGGTGTCGACGTTGTAGAAGAAGTCATGAGGTCGGAAATTCTGGAACGTTTTCAGAGTGTCCAAGAGCGCTCTGAGAAGGCCGCGGCGCCCGAGACACCCCTCCTTCTCAGAATCGCCGGATGTCAGAGATCCCCGATGTATCCCGATCTGATTTTTCCCGATCTTGACACCGTTCTGGCACCGCGTATGTCGGCGAGTCCGAGTTTGTCCCGAGCCGCACGAACGGCGAACGTATCCATACCCACGCCCTCGAGGTCTGGATGCCGGGGCGGGGCCCCGTGGATGCGCGGTCGCCCGGGTACTCTCCGCGCGGGACGTCTGCGAATCACAGACGCTGTAGCCGCGGAGTTGCGGCCCGGAGACCCACGTAGCGAGGCCGTGGATACGGATATGGTTTCCGCAAGCGAGCGTCAGTCCATGCAGTCTCGGGTCTCAAGGGACGGGGGTCAATGCAGAGGGGGGTCAGTGAAACCGCCGGATCTTGCAGGGTTCTGCAGAGCTACGGCTGCATTGACCCGCGCTTGGGTGCAGGATCCTGCAGCATCTTGCAGGATCCTGCAAAGCCTACCTGACCAGGGTTTGGATTGACCCGGGTCAGTAGAACCCCGACAGTCGAAGGAGGAAACTGCATACACATAATTTGTCGAAGGTCCGCGCGGATTTCTCGGATCGGCGCTGGCCCCCCTGGCGGCGCCTCCGGCGACACCCTTGGCGCGCTCCGCGCGTCAGGGGGGTCAGCGTCGACCTAGGGATTTCGCGAGGGTTTCTCGTTTGCTAGGATAAGCGTCTGTACAGTCAAGGCGCTGACATCAGGGACCTTTTGGATTCGGAAGTGGTTCTGTGTTCCCCAGTTTCTGCCAGGGCTGCTGAACTCTGACGCTCTCCGTGCACCCAGGGCTCCTGGGGCCAAAGAGGAGCTTCGTTCCCCTTCGGCGTTCTTCATGATAGCACCCCGACTGTAGGGAAAGCTTTTCCCGAATGGCGCGTTCTTGGAGGATCGGAGGTGGATAGACCTCCTACCCTGACGCGTCGATTAAGGAATTGGCCGTTTTCGGTTCGCGAGAGGGCGTCGCGGCCGTCATTTTTGCTGGTCCAGGTCCGTCGAATTCGGTCCCAGGCCGTTTTCACTAAGGAGAGCTTTACTGAAGGGAGGTTTGTCCACCGCCGAGAGGGTTCTGACATCGGCAAGAAAGGCCGCAGAAGCGTCCCAGAGGGGGGGGGGCGGGGAGCCCAAGACAGAGCAGTCTGGCGGCGGCCCGGCAGCCGCTTCGCCGGAAACGTCCTCACATCTTAATGCGAAGGCCCTACGGCCAGTATACCGCCGACCCTGAGAACGACGGAGATGGAAACGAGGGGGGGGGCAGGGGGAGGAGAATGAGTGGGAGGTGGAGGAAGGGTGGGGGAGGTGGATGAGGGAGGAGGAGGGGGGAAACGGATGTGGAGGAGAAGCACGAGGAGGAGAAGGAGGCAGAGGGGAGGGCAGCCGTTTCGCCCGAGACGTTCTCACATCTTATTCAGGAGTCGTGCTCTCGCCCCAGTGCTTGTTACGTTTTTTGGTCCAGACGGCCACGATCCCCTGTGACAAAGACGTTGAGGTGCACATCGCCGCGCTCCCAACCCTGTCCAGCCTGTCAGCGTGCCTAGGAATCCCTAGGGATGCCCAGGAGTGCTCCTTCTCACCAGCCGACTGCCTACTCCTCGACCTGCCTCTCCACCTTGGCTGCTATCAGGGTGCTTCGCTGGGGTAGTCTGGCCCTCCGGCACGCCATCAGGCCACAAGGCAGGCTCTCGCCAGCCCGGGTGCGGCGGTGGCGCTGGCGCGCGCCTCCGAAGTGGGGGGACCGTTTCGGGGCCATGGGCCTGCACAACAACAACCCACGGCGAGAAGTCCTCCGGGCCGCCAGTCGCGGGCGATGTTTCTCCCCCAATCCCCGAGTTTCGCCCGAAAAGTCTGGCCGCTCAGAAGAATGGGAAAACCCTGGGATACACCCCAAGGGGGCTATTCGGACGCACCCCTATCGAGAATGGACACCCCCCCATCGTATATCTCAGGGTTAGGCCCCAAATTTCTGGTCCATTCGGAAACCCCACGAAGCCTGGGATAGGGGTCGACATATCCCCTGTTAGCCAGGAGTACGAGTGGAATCGTTCAAAATATGCACACACGTCATTTCTCGGTGCTCCGCGCGGATTTCTTGGATCGGTGCTGGGTTCCCCTGGCTGCGCCTCGGACCCGCCTCTGGCGCGCTCCGCGCCGTCGGATATGAATGAGCCGTTGGACGAGACTGTAGATGAGCCGTTGGATGCGGTTGTTGATGGAAGTGGTGACAGCAGTGCGCCTGGCAGTGTACAAGGCAGGGTTTGTTTGGCATCTCCGTGGGGCGGCGCTAAACTTGGATCCCGAGAGACTCCAAGAACAACAAGGAGATAAGACATCAACTTTCGGAGCTCGGAGCGGGTTTCTTGAATCGGCCCTGTTGGCGCGGTCTACGCGCCAGGGAGGGGGTTCCAGCGCCGATCCAAGAAATCCCCGCAGACCTAGAAATTATGGTTTGCCGCTCTTGTTTCTCGAGAGTCAGGCAGCACCTGGAGCGACCGCGCGGTCTGATCGGGTCTGCCTGGAGGGCACTCCACTGGAGCCCCCCCCGAGAGGTGCAGGAGTCTGATGGCAGCTGCTCTGGCATCGCCCAGGGCGGGCGATGTCCAGTGCGGCACTCTGCTGGACCCCCCACTGGCGCAGGAAGGTGGGAAAGCGGATGCAGTTGCACGCTTGGCAGCACTCATGAGAAGTGGACAGGAGCAGATGAACGCAGGGGAGGCGGATGAAGGATACGATAGACGAGGGAGCGGGACGAGAAGCGGGAGACGCGGAGAGGGAACATGGAGGAGGCAGATAAGAGGAGGCGGGATATGACGCGAGAGAAAGGAGGAGGATTGATGAGGGAGTGTGGAGGGGGCATGAGGATGAGGAGGACGTGACGAAGCCCAGGAGTGTGGCGGCAGAACGCCCTAGTGGTGTGGCGGCAGAACGTGCTCCGTCGCGCAAGGAGGAGCACAGGAACAGCACGTGATTCACTCAACACCTGGACCCAATCACAAGGATGGTCGGAATACCCGAGGGCTCAACCGGAAAGAGGTTTGACACAACGAGGCCAATATCGATGAGGTCGACGAGGGATGGGGATGATGACGATGATGATGACGAAGGATGATGAGGAGGACAACAGCATGACGAGGAGGATGACCGAAATGGGGAGGATGATTGCGAGAAGGTGGTTGAGGAGTGCTAGGAGGAGGTGATGATGCTGATGATGATGATGATGATGATGATGATGATGATGGTGGTGATGATGATGCTGCTGATGATGATGATCATGACGATGATGATGAGGTGGAGGATGACGAACCAAACGAGGAGAGGAGACGGGTGATGAGGAGTAGTAGTCCAAGCATGGGGGGACAAGCTTCATGAGGATGAGTACGTGGAGTATAGAGTGGATGAGGAGGAGTTGCAGGGGCATGCTGGCAATGCTGATGCTGATGATGCTGCTGATGATGCTTGTGGTGATGACGATGCTGGTGATGATGATGCTGATGATGATGACGACGACGACAACCACGACCACGATGCCAAATCTGGAGGTGAGCATGATGAGATGATTGGCTGGTGAACATAGCGATACGAGGCTGGTGCTGTTGCTGTTGTTGTTGGTGTTGTTGTTGGATAGTTGTTGTTGTTGTTGTTGTGGTTGTTGTTGTCGTTGATGTTGATGTTGTCGTTGATGCTGATGTTGATGAGGCTGACGATGCTGATAATGATTGTACTGATGTTGATAAAGGTACTGATGGTGCTGGTGGTGCTGATGGTGCTAATGGTGATGATTTTGATGATTAAAAGGTGGATGCTGATAAAGATGATGCTGATGATGATGCTGATGCTGATGCTGAAGATGGTGGTGATGATGATTTTGATGATACTGCTGATGCTGATGATGCTGATGATGCTGATGCTGATGCTGCTGCTGCTGCTGCTGCTGATGATGATGATGATGATGATGATGATGCTGCTGCTGATGATGATGATGATGATGATGCTGATGATGATGATGATGATGAGGAGGATGATGATGAGGATGAGGATGAGGATGAGGATGAGGATGATGATAACGATGGTGCTGAACAGAAGCAGGGGCAGGAGCGGGTGGGGGAAGGTGAGGGCAGGTGACGAGGGTACTGGGGACGAGGATGATAAGACCTGGCATCGCTCGGACGTGTGCATGTCTTCCTCGGCGGGGACCATCGAGGAACATCCTGGAGCATCGTGGGGACAAAAGTGCACGCGCGAGAGCGCAACGTGCACGGGGAGTGGACGTCCGAGCGATGGCGAGTAGATAGCCAGCAGCAGCAGCAGCAGCAGGCGACGCTGCAGCGGGGTCGAGAGGAGCAGGCGGGCAGGAGTCAGGAGGGGAGAAACACACACACAGACACAACCAATCCTCGACTCCCAGGAACATACGGGAAAATATGGGAAGTGGGGGGGGGAAGACAGAAGCCCAGAAGATATAGGAAAATATATGGGGAATCCGGTTATATGTGTGTGTGTGTATTTCTTTGTGTGTCCTGTGGGGCCCCTTCACAGGAGGGCCGGCGGGCCGGCGGGCCGGCTCGGGAGCGGGATCCAG